AAATATAAACAATATGCAAAAATTGTAATGTTTTAAAAAATTATAAGCAATTGAAAAAATATCTTTTACAAGTATTATGTTTTAATTCTTATTATTTTTATGCTTATATTATTTATATTCTTATTTCTTCCCAGTTTTTCCCTGGGAATGTTTACAGTGTGCCTTCCTGAGATACTTCTCTGTCCTGATGGATGTCCTAATGCCTAAGTGTCTGACCTGTGACTAGGAGTGTCCCTCACAAAGAAATCCTGTTTATGCTGGCAGATGCCCACGTGGCTCTTGTCTGACCTATGTCTAGTTAGGTCTCTAGCCCTACAAGATAACCACTCTCTTAGCCCTGACCAAAGAGAAAGTTAGGTTCAGGTGTATGTGCAAATCAGCTGAGACACAATGAGGGAGTGAAACCAAAATGCACAAAACAGAAGATATTTATTACTTATAATCTCTGAGAGATTAAGGGGGATGATAAGAAGCCTTCAGGAAGTCTAGAAGTCAGCAAGGGAGCTCAACCAGCAGGTGGGGATTGAGAGAGAGACAGACTGAGAGAACCTGTGTGACTATACCTTTATTAAGGTCCATTGGCATCATCCCTTAGATTTTCTCCAGGGCATTGTATATTGGTTAAAGAAAACTTGAGAGCAAAGGAAGAACTAATTTACATGAATCTGGCATTGGCCATTAAGTGTCATCATAGTCAGCAGCTGTGAGTGTGTTGGTGCGTGTGTAAGATGTTGAAGAATCAGGATATATTGCAAACAACCACATGGAGAGGAGAAGTTTTTATAGGCCAAAGGTGACAGGGTAAGACTGGGTTTTAAACAATTTATGTCAGGCCTAAAAATAGATGCTGAGGCAGCAACTTGATTAAACAAATTTATGACAGGAACCAATATAGCTGATTCAGTGTAGATACAATTCATTTCCAGAGTATTTACTATTTCAGAATGTTCACGAGTAAAATGGTCTCAAGCCAGCATGTTTTGCAGTGGAAATGAAGAATTTAGGTTAATCTAAAGGTCTATCAAGAAAACAGAGGATAGTTATGAGATTCTCCATTCGATTACATCATAAGAGGAATGATTTATCAATATATTTATTCAATAACACCTTCACATTTAATAGGATAAGAGTTAATTATTGTTCTAATTTCATACTGTTTATTGCCCGTGGATACAGAATTTTGTTCTGAATTTTTTTCCTATATAGAATTACTTTGTGTGTATCTTACTGTGATACACAGTAATTTCAATAATTATATACAAATGTTCCTTTTCATAATATAAAAATTTGGGGGGGGACTGGACTTTTTGACATTTTCTGGATGTGCTTTGTTATTAACTTTGATTAGTTATAGGCTAATCGTTTATAAAATATTTTTGTTGGTGTTTTTCTAATTTCTTTGAAAATTACTGACATTTCTAAGTCTAAATTGTTGTCAGATCCACAGAACTACTGTTATTAATTTGCTAAAGAATAATTCTTTTATACGTACCATTTTAAAATGTGGCAGAATTAATCGAAGTTCTAAATTGATTATTCCATTGTACATATGTATTAATATATGCACATATATATTTTAAAGTTTCATAATAGTCTCTGATATTTATTCCCTGTATCTTCTTGCATCTTAACACATTGTTACTTTTTGATGCATTTCAACGTTGCTTTTAAATATATATCTTTATCTTCCCTGTTTTCTTATTTATACCTCTATTAGTTTTTTACTGGTGTTCCTAGAATTTAGAATATGCATTTTAAAATAATCTGAATCTGCTTTCAAATAATATCATAGTACTTCCGTAGTCTTGGAAGATACTTTAACAGTATATTTCTAATGTCTATCTCCCATTCCTTGTGCTGCTCTATCCTATATTTCAGTTTTCCATGTTAAAAACACAGAATAACAGTGTTACAATTTTCCTTTAATACCATCTTTTAGAGAAACTAAATAAGAAAACTAGTTTTGTTTTTCTTGCATTTATTTCATTTCTAACTCTCTTTATTTCTTGTTTAGATACAAATTTCTGATTATGTCCTATTCCTCTTCTCTCAAGAATATCCTTTAACATTTCTTGTAGAGAAGATCTGCTAGCAATGAATGCTCTCAGTTTTTACCTGTTGAAAAATCTATTTTTATGGTAACAACTTTACTAAAATATAATTCACATACCATTCAATTCACTGCTTTAAATTGTGTAAATCAATAGTGTTTAGTGTAGTCAGTGTTGTGAAACCATCAACACAACCAATTTTACAACATTTTCATTGTGGCAGCATGAAACCCCACTCCCGAAGGCCATCATCCCCAATTTCTCCTTTCACCCCTCAGTTTAGTCAACCACTAATCTACTTTTAGTCTGTATAAATTAGCCCACATTGGAAATTTCACAGGAAAAGAAGTTTCATATAAAATGAATCATGGATATGTGGTCTTCTGTACTGGCTTCAATCACTTGGCATAATGTTTTCAAGTTTGATGTATGTTGTAGGAAGGATCAGACCTCCATTTCTTTATATTACCAAATAATATTCCACTGCATGGATATACCACATTTATTCATCCATTTATGAGATGAGGTACAATTGGTTTGTTTCTAGTTCTTGGCTCTTATGAATCATGCTGCTGTAAATATTTGAGTAACAGCTTTGTGGGGACATATGTTTTCATTTCTTTTGATAATATACCTAGTACTAAAATTGCTGGGTCATATGGGTCATTCCCATTTCTCTGTATCCTTCTGAGGAACTGCCAGACTGTTCTCCAAAACAAGTGTATCATTGTCCAGTCCCACCATAAATATATGTAGGTTCCTATTTCTCCAAATCCTAGCCAAGATTTCTGTATGTTTGATTCTAGCCATCCTAGAGGTATGATTGGTATCTCACTGGGGCTTTGATTTGCATATCCTTGATGACTAAAGATGTTGAACATCTTTTCAAGTATTTAATATCCATGTGTATGCTTTTTTTTCTTTGAGAAAAATTTATTCAGTTACTTTGCCTATTTTTAATTGGGTTGTCTTTTTGTCATTGATTGGCAAGACATTTTTATATAGTCTACATACAAATCCTATATCAGAAATATGATTTACCAGAATTTTCTTTCATTCTTTGGGTTGCCTTCTCTTCATGGTGGTTTTGAGGCACAAAGTTTTAAAATTTGATCATGTCCAATTTCTTTTTTTGGTGGTGTTGCTTGTGATTTTGGTGTCATATGTAAGAAACAATTGCTGACCATAGCATCCAGAAGATTTATGCCTGTAATTCCTTCCAAATGTTCTGTTGTTTTAATTCTTAAACTCAGGTGTTTGATCCATTTTGAGTTGATTTTGTATATGGTGAGAGGTGGAGATCCCAATTCAGTCTTTTCCATATGGATATCTAGTTGTTCCAGTCTTTGTTGAAATGACTATTCTTCCCCTCCTTGAATTGCCTTTGTACCCTTGTTGAAAATTAATTTACTGTATATGTGAAGTTCATTCCTGGACTCAATTTAATCCATTGATCTATGTGATTTATGTGTGTATCCACTGGGGTTGTGGTACTCCTGAAGGATTACCCGGGAGATTCAGAGGAACAAATCCAAGGACTGATTTAAAAGAAAAGTGATCAAGTTCTTAGGTTGCAACTTTAATAGGTTTTCAACTATTTATATTTGTGAATCATGAATTTTTAGCTTTGTTCCTTTTCCTCTTAGGATATTGACCAATATTTTAAGCCAGAGAGACAGTAAATTAAGATTATTATCTATTTGTCCATTGTATTTGTTATAAATAATATTTCCCCCAAAATTCATTCATCTAAAGTTTTTAAAATTTACACAGTTTTTACCATTCAGATGTTTTGAGTATTTATAAATAACAATCAAATTTTACAAATAATTACCATATCAAGGTTCTAAATTTTAAGAAAATGTCTTCCCTTGGTTATCTTTAAGAAACTTATTCCTAAACAAAAATAAGAAAAATATTTAGAAGATATTTCTTCAGATGATTTTTAAAATCACATTAATTCAGTCCATCTTTAACGTGTCCAAGGATGAATATTATATATTATATAATATATGCAATATTATATAATATATACCATCCCATATATTATATTACATTATATAAGTATTAAAAGTTACCATCTCATATACTACCAAACAGGCTGGCGCTACCTCAGCGGCCGTAAAGGTCCCAGCGTCCCACTTTGAGGAGCTCAGCCCCAGCCCAGCGTGCGATGGTCCTCGAGGTCACAGCTGTGATTCTCCCTGCCGGGCCCTCACACTGAGATCTGAGGCCTCGGACTGGAAGAGCCGGGAGGACAGAGTTCACACTGCCCCAGCTCGTCCCCCGAGGCTCGCCGCCCAGCGGAATCGGCCGGCGCAGGGCCCGCGGCGCCAGCATTTGGGCGCTCTGCGCTTGCGCACTGCCAGGGTGGGCGGCCAGTCCCACAAGTCTTCTTGCCTCGGGCGGTCCTAGTGGTCACCGGCAGCATTTCTTCTAGGTTTTTACGAACCTTGGATCCATTTCTCACAGAGGACTTGGGGTCCCGGCTGTTCTAGCCTGGACTACATTTCACTCGGGCGACGACGGAGAGAACTTGAACCTCTGGCTCCGTTTCCGGCATCCCTGGTTGCGCGCTGCGCGAGCCCTGGCGCCACCTGAGGAAGAAGCCGGCGTCGGTCGCTGCGGGGAAGACTGCAGCCCTGGACTGCAGCCCGCGCGGGGCGCGGCGTGGCGGTGAGGGAGGCGTGGCGGGAGGCGCTGGGAGCGCGGCACGGCGCGTCTGCGCCGCCTCGGCCGTGGGTGCTGGAGCCGCAGAGCGGGTGGCCGTGTCTCTGGGAGACAGGCGGGCGGGGAGAGGCCGTGCAGCATGTGACGGGGCCGGGGCGTGCGTTTGTGACGGCAGGTGCAGCTGTGAGACTGTGAGGTGCGGGGTTTGCGCGACCGGGACATAGGGAGCGTGTCCTTCGCGCGAGCGTGCGTTGCTGTGGCTCTGGTGTCACTGACCCCGTGGCTTCAGGTTCCCTGCCGCCTCCTGTGCCCTCATGTCAGCCAAGTAGGACTGCCACGGAGAAATGGTCGCAAGTGGGAAATCAAATAGTGAGTCCTACATGACGGTTTCCAGCAAGAAGGCGCAGACCTGCTGTTGGTCGATGATTGCTCTGGAGACAGGTTCCTAGGAGCTGATAGACTCTAGGAATAGCATTCCTTCCTGGGAGGGTCGTTCCTTGGAATTCTCTGGGGTTCCTTTACATGTTTGATAATTACAGCATTCCCTGAGCTCTCCAGGAACGGCTGTGATAGGGATTCCGCCCACTTCTTATTTCTCCTGTTTGTATGTATGGGCTCACAGCGGGTGTCGCCTTGGAGGGTGTAACGTCACAAATGCTCAGCATTGTGGTGACTCGGGGGATCATTCCCCTTCAGGTTTCTATAGAGAGAAACAACGAAAATATAAAGTAAATTGTATCGTGTACTTGCAGTTTAAGGGAGTGAGGCAGTCGCTCAAGTGTTCCGGAATGGAAGTTCTTAACTAGGCGTCTTTTTGCTCTATCAGTGGGCTTAAGAACACCACAACCCATTGCAATTGTATAGAATTGCTGTATATATTTGTAAATTTGTATTTTTTTTTTTTTGAGACAGAGTCTCACTTTGTTGCCCAGGCTAGAGTGAGTGCCATGGCGTCAGGCTAGCTCACAGCAACCTCAAACTCCTGGGCTCAAGCAATCCTCCTGCCTCAGCCTCTCAAGTAGCTGGGACTACAGGCATGCGCCACCATGCCCGGCTAATTTTTTCTATATATATTAGTTGGCCAATTAATTTGTTTCTATTTATAATAGAGACAGGGTCTCGCTCTTGCTCAGGCTGGTTTCGAACTCCTGACCTCGAGCAATCCGCCCGCCTCGGCCTCCCAGAGGTAAATTTGTATTTTTCAAGGGTGAACATAACCCAAAAGATTTAGGGCTGGATTTTTGATCTGGTATAAAAGATTGTTATATTTGGGCATGGTTTTGCACAAAATTGGTGGTCAAGATTATGAGATTGGTTATGAAAATCACACATCTATAGGATAGAATAATATGCAGATAACAAAATTTCTGTTTATAAGAATCATTATAAGGAACAATGGTTATGATCTAATGTTAGATAGTTTTATATTGTGAATAATCAAAAGAAAAATTTAAATTATATATGCAGTTACATTTAAAAAATAGAATTTTGCAAACTTTTTGCAAGGATTGTCTCCAAAATGATATTTTAATTCCTAATTCAGGGAAGAATGGAAGAGGTATAGCCACATTTATTGAGCATATTCTGTGTACACAAAACTTTTCTGCCTATTTGTCATGCACATTTTATCTGCAAAGGCCATTTCCCTTTCTATTAATGAAGAAGTTTTATAGTGAAATGTGTCTAATTATACCAGTGATGCACAGCTAAAGGATATTTAAGAACAGGTAAATGTTATTTGTTTCAGTCACATTGGTTTGTTGTGGCAAGCCTAGTATTTATAGATTTTTTTTACAGATTTTTTTTTTTGAGACAGAGTTTCACTTTGTTGCCCAGGCTATAGTGCCATGGCATCAGCCTAGCTCACAGCAACCTCAGACTCCTGGGTTTAAGCAAACCTTCTGCCTCAGCCTCCCAAGTAGCTGGGACTACAGGCATGCGCCACCATGCCCAGCTAATTTTTTCTGTGTATTTTTAGCTGTCCAATTAACTTCTTTCTATTTTTGGTAGAGACAGGGTCTAGCTCTTGCTCAGGCTGGTCTCGAACTCCTGAGCTCAAATGATCCACCGGCCTCGGCCTCCCAGAGTGCTAGGATTACAAGCATGAGCTACCATGCCCGGCCTACCGATTTTTTTAAATGACAAAAATATAGTTTCTTTTCATAATGATGCCTTTAAATAATCTTAATACTTAGAAATATCTTTATGTTGTACTTATGAAGGTGGAATTAATGCAGCAAACAATTTGATTTCCTAAGGAATTTATGAAGAAGAAAGTAAGAATAACCCTTAATCCTCCTGCCTACACTCACTTTTAATATTTTGTTGTATATATTTATAGTTTTTATGGGCTTACATTTCCATGTGATTTTGTTTTGACATAACAGAATTTATCACATAAAGGAGACAAAAAGTCTTCCTCTTAATTTGAAAATAGAAATCTAACCAAATCATATGTTTCCTCATACTTACACCTCTTCATGTAGGGAGAAGGAAGTGCCACATATCTCCTTGTTTGAAAAACATCCCGTTTATACTTTTTAGATATTAGAAATATTACTTAAAAATCACTATCAGACTTCCTTTCAGAATTAATAATTTAGAGATTTCCTTTCAGAGAGAATGACACCAATATCTGATTTCCAGGTATCTTGCAAATACAAGTAATAATTCCAGAGACTGTAATACTATATTCACATACATCCCCATACAGTGCAGAAGAATAAAATTCTTTTCTTAAGATTCTCTATTTTATTAGATTCTGTTCCTTTTAAAGATTTATGATGCTGAATGGTGTTTTTCTTGTTCTCTGTAGTTGCTGGGTACTGAGGAAGAGGACATTTTCTCCTTTTTTGTCTGATACTCTCTCTCTTTCGGTGATTTTATCAAGGAGAATTGTACTATATCAAAGATTGACCCTGAAATTTTTTTAAATTGGATTTGTAAGAAAGAGAAAGCCTCAGAAGCATAAATTTTACCATAAGAAAAACAGGAAACAGCAGAATTAACCTCATTGTAAAATAATGGATTAAGGGACATATAATGATTTTAATCTTCAGCAATGATAATTTATATTAGCCAGCACAATACATTTATTAGTGTTTATATGGATTATCTTGTTGAGTCTTCAAAACAACCATATACATTTACAGTACATGATATTCTTATCTCTTCTTTGCTGATGTAGAAACAGAGGCACTGAGACTTAGAAACTCTCACAGTTTAAAGCTCTTTTCTCTCCCTGAACATGGCAACAGAGCCTTAATTTCTCTGTGACAACAGAGTGTTCTTAATTTCAACTGGATATCACCTCCTAAGTTATGCATACCTCTTAAACCTGCCTTCTTCATTAAGTTAATGTTGCTTTCCATCATTCGATATGGATTAATATCATTGTTATTAATAATGGTCTAGTATATCACAATATTGTAGATCATAATATGTTTAACATGTTACCTACTGTGAGACATTTATATTTTTAATATTTGGTTATCAAAAATTGTTCTCTGATGAACATTTTTGTAATATACCTTGTATATTTATATAATTAGTTCCTTTAAAAAATTCCTAGATGTGGAATTTTGGGGTTAAAACTCAGAATTTTGTCAAGTGTCTACAGTACGCTAGACCCAGAATTTGCAGTATTTGTGGCAGTACAGTCGCTAAAGAGACATAAGTGCATCCTTGAAAATGCTTATTATCTATCAATGAGGATAAAATCTGGGTAGGAATAAGTGTAAGGCAGTATGTGATAAAGACCACTGGAAAGATTTAGTTGATCTACCTTGTGAATTCACTGGAAAGACACATCAGTCTGTCTATAACAACAGTTAGGATATGAACAAATTATACCAATTCTATGCAATCTATGGCAATAAGTGGATTTTGTGTTATAACTTTTGTGCCTTACAGTTTCCTTCTAATTAGGTTAGATGCAAAGTGAAACTCATAGGGTAATATAATTCAGTAGCTATCTAGGTGACCTCATGGCTTAGCTGACAGGCTTAGAACCAAAATAACCCTTTCTGTCACGAAGATCTGAAATAAAGCTGTATGGCAACCATCATCAGTTCATATAAGAGATTACTCAGGCACTGCTTCACATTTTTTCTAGACCTCTGTCATACCTGAGAAGAAATGATTAAGTGAGTTTAGATATCAGGATCGAAAGGAAACAAACAAAGATAAGACTTTCAGTAAAAGAACCTAAATGTAGAGAACAAAGACTTTTTTTTGAACTCCCCTTCTGTTTGGAGAACATCTTCCTGTTAACTCCCCCGCCTCAAAAAAATCCCACATATATTTCAAGTTAACCTATGGTTATTATTATAATTATTTTAAAAAACAAAAACTTAAAGAGGAAAATCAAAGTAAAAAAAAAAAAAAAGAAAAAATGCTGTTAATAAATGACCATATTACCTTCCAAATGTTTCTACTTTCAGTAGTCTGTCTGCTTCTGCAATGATGGCTATATTAGGTTTTTAATTAATTATGAAATGTCCAATTTCCTTAAGTACTAAGTTTGATAGTTGATGTCTTTGACATTTCACTTTGACACTTATTATTTTATGTTTATTGTGAAGGTACATCCTCATTCTTTCAAACACATGGTTGGGCTTGTGATTATCTTTCACATTTTTTTTTACAGCAATTTTTGTGAAATCATGGATAAGTCAAAAACTTGTGTTATTTTCAAATATGAGTTTCGTTGTGGAACCAGTGGTGGGCAGACAGCTCGAATTATCAATGAAGTGTTTGAGAAGGATGTGGCTAATAAACATACAGTACATCGATGGTTTCAGAAGTTTCATTTTGATGATTTTAATCTTGAAAATGAGCCATGTGGGCAACCTGATATCAAGGTGGATAGTAATGAGCCAAAAGCTGTAGGGGAAGCAAATCCAACTCAACCTATGCATGAATCAGCAGCAAGGTCTGACATTACCATTCTAACAATATCAGACCATCTGGAATATATCAGCATGGTAAAGAAGCTGGATAGATGGGTACCACATGAATTAAATCAGCGTCAGAAGAGAAATCACCTCGAAGCTTGCTTTGTTATCACAACATAAAGGCAAACGATTTCTACAACATATTGTTAAGTGTGATGAAAAATAGATTCTTTTTGATAATTGCAAGCATTCAGCACAAAGGTGGGATAAAGATCAAGTGCCAAAACACAATCCAAAACTGAATATTCATCAAAAAAAGCTAATGGTGTCTGTTTGATGGTCTAGTGCTGGTATTATCCACTACAGCTTCATGAAACCTGGTCAGTTGATTACTGCAGACATCTACTGCAACCAATGAGGCTGCTTGTGATTAAGCAGCCGGGATTGGTCAATAGAGATAGACCAATCCTCTTGCAGGATAATACTGAACCACATGTTGCACACATACAATGCTGCTCAAATTATAAGGGCTGGACTTGGAAATTCTCTTCTTATCCACCATATTCACCAGACTTTGCACTGACTGCCTACCACTTCTTCTAGGCTTTGGATCACTACTTGCAAGGAAAAATATTCAATTCTCAACAAGCTAAGGAAAGTGCCTTTTGCAATTTCATTGCCACTTGTATTCCAGGGTTCTTTGCTCCTGGCATAAACAAGGTATCGTTAAGATGGAAAAATGGTGTCAATAATTTAGGTGCATTACTTTGATTAATTATACTGCTTCTTGTTTGAGATATAATAAACCAAACTTTTGATTCAAATTTGGACATTTCATATTTAATGACCTCATATTTATATGTTTTACAACAGTAATTACATTATATTATATTATATTAATTAAAAATCAACCTGATTTTTCCATTTACAGTATATCTGAAATGTTTCTTATATCTTTAAATATTTTTCACAATTTCACATTTGATGTCTACTTTGGATTCTAGTATGATGATAATCTGTCATATATTTAACTAGTAAGCTTTGTTGGAGTCAAAATACTCAACGCTACCTTTCCATCTCCAGTGTCTTAACTAACTTCATTCAGTTCCAAAACCAAAGAAGAGGCTCTGCTTTGGATAAGGTGGGCTCTTTTTAGTCTTAGAAGGTGGAAATAGAAGGAAGAAGATCTACTCAGAGCAGAACTCTGCTTTCCAATCTGAGGTCTACATCTCACCAAAATACATAGTGGCCAGAAAACTTCCTGATAATATATCTCAGTTTGTTTTTGATACAGAAACACCTCTGATTTATGACTTTGTTGTCAGCAGAGACCCCCATGATTTGGGGAAGGAAATGGATTTATCCAGCACCCTAATCTGCCCAAATTGTGTATGATGGGAAATAGTTTGGAGCCTAGAATGGAAAAGCATAACAGCAATATTAAATAACTTAAGTTCTGTTAGGAACACTAAAGCAAAATTGGTCTCAAGGTCTTTCTCTTCTCCCAGCTCTGGCTTTATGGATCTATGCTTTTCTGGTAGAGGAGCCCTGAGGACTGATCTACTCTTGCAGGTCTAAAACCATGGCCCATGTAAGTCGATGTTTCTTTCCTTGTAGAAATATGTGTGTGTGTTTAGGTCGTGTAAGTATTTTCATTAATTTTCCTGAAATTTCCTCATCAAATAACCTGCTTTCAGCTCTTATTCTTCCAGTGAGCTGTGATGCCAAATTAACCAGAGTCCTCCCTGTGTGGTCTGTGCTAAACTTACTAGTGTACATATAATTACTGACCAAAGTGTTCAGCATGTCTTAAGTGCCTATTCTTCTATCGAGGGCAGTGATGAAGTTAAGTCCTTTTAAGTAAAGATTTATGCTTTCTAGGTACGACTAATTTGGTGATACAGAGACAATTATGGTACTTGACCATCCATAACAAAACGTAAATCTTCACCAACTTGAGATTTCCAGGTAGAAAAGATAGAGATTTGGTATTAAATGCACAAATGTCAGTCATTCAGTGGGTGAAATCTCATGCTTTGTGTGGATTAGTAGATGATTGGGACTTGCAAACTCCGAGCCTGTGTATCTTGGTAGAGAATTCCTGAGAGATAACTATCAAGATTATTTTGTTGTTAAATGGGACATTTTATGCAAACCCTATTTTCTAAACTTGGGTGACATATATATAATTCATCATCCATCCTTAGTCTTCTTTAACTGAATGTATTTATCTATTACTGCATAGCAAATTACCCTAAAACTTAATGGCTTAAAGCAATCATTTATCTCATAGTTTCCATGGGTCAGAAATCCAGACATGACTTAGCTTGCCTCTCTGGCTCTGGGTCTCTTATAAGGAAATCAAGGTGTTGGTCAGGGCTGCAGTCACCTTAAGGCTCAACTTTGGGTGGATCTTTTTTCAAGCTCACTCAAGTTGTTGTTAACAGGGTCCACTTCGTCATGGGCTTTTGGACTGATGGCCTTAGTTCCTCGTTGGCTGGTGTTTGCTATTGGTTTATTGTCATGTGAGTCTGTCCATAGAATAGCTTAAAACATGGTAGCTGGCTTTATCTTTAGGCAAGACATCAAAGGAAGAAGAGCAAAATGGAATCATAGTCCTTTGTAACCTTACATTAGAAGTAACATTTCAGCTCTTTAGCTATTCTATTTATTAAAAGCAAGTCACCTGTTTCAGCCCACGTGCAAGGGGAAGAGATTACACAAGGACAGAATACTGGGAGATGGAGGGATCATTGGTAACCTACATAGAAACTACTACTCCACTCAGTGGAAGCCGAGTGTTCAATGAGAAATGGTAGTTAGACACAAAAAAGAATGTCATTGTAAGTAATAAGTGAACACAGAATTGGGGAAGATTTTACAAATCTTGTGTATCCTGACTGCATGAATGATTAAACCTGATATATCCATAGAGTATAATCATATGTGGCAAAAACAAGCATGGTTTTGTCAAAACAAGAAAAATTACATATGGTGAGATCTAACACAATGAAGTATTTAATGCTTGAGGGAATTCTTAATTTTATGCAAACCCTATTTTCTAAAATGGAGACTTTATACTACATTTTGGGAAAATACTCAATTAAAATTTTCTCTTAAAAGCAAAAATTTTCCCCAGCAATTCATATTTATTAATAAATTTATGTTACAGATACCAGTCAGACATTATGTTTGTGTTCACCACTTAATTTAATAGGCAAACATTATTTTATCTATTCACAAATTATTTAGATGTTTTAGAGTATGCCACACAGTTTTGTATATGCTAGCAGTATTCTTCAAAAATATGTAAACATTCTGCTTCAGTCCCCTGCTATATTATAGATTTGTAGCCTACATGCTTGTTATATTGCTCTCTTCCTGCAATACTGTCCTTATTTCTTTTCCTCTCATCTTCAAAATATTCCTTTAATTTCTCTGGTAATACATGGGTTTGCCATTTCAGGGATCAATGACATTCAGGGATGTGGCCATAGACTTCTCACAGCAGGAGTGGGAATATCTCAACCCTATTCAGAAAACCTTGTACCGGGATGTGATGATGGAGAACTATGGTAACTTGGTCTCACCGGGTATGTTTTCTGTCTCAGATAATTTGGGATAACTTAGACTCTGATCTCTAGGAAATGTGTTTTTTCCACTGTGATTTTTAGGGCTGCCTTTCAAGAAACTAGTTAAATTTCTTTTCCCTTTTTCTCAGAGAAGTGGTTTGAGCTTTGTTGGATTGGAAATGACAAATTCATTTAACATATTTGTCTTCTTTGTCCTTCAGTGATGTTCACACCTTCCTCTGGTCCTACTTGCAATTGCCTTTCTTCCTTCATGAGGAAGGGCTAGATTAGGGTTCTGTGGCATATAGGATTCCATGGCAAACCTGTGAAAGGATCCAGATTTTCTGTTTTTTTAATACCGAAAATTACTGTAGATACTCCATTGTATCACCTGATCCACTTACAGGGAAGTACACTTGACACGGGGTCTTGAATTGCTCTAATTATCAAAAGAACCTCTACAATTTATAAAATGGTAAATTGGATAAATGAGATTCATTTAAAATTGAAGGAAACACATTTGATTTCCTAAGACAAATTCTATCTGATTTGGGTTTGCAAGTTGTAATCTATAAACATTACATTTAAAATAGAATGAATATCCTATAGATATCTCTTCTTGTGTACTCTTAGTAAAATAGTAATATCAAGAATGTTAACAGCTAATATTATGCTTACTATAGGCAGTGCTCTGAGTACTTTACATATATATCTCTACTGATTTAATCCGTATTAAAGTCAACAATCTTATTATTATCCCTATTTTCCAAACGAGAATACTGAAGCACAGTGGTTTTAAGTGACTTGCCTCAAGGCCACATAGCTGGAAGCTGGCAAAGGCAGGAGTTGATACCAGGCTCCAGAGTCTGTATTTTTTTTTTTTTTTTTTTGCCTAGGCTAGAGTGAGTGCCGTGGCGTCAGCCTAGCTCACAGCAACCTCAAACTCCTGGCTCAAGCAATCCTCCTGCCTCAGCCTCCCAAGTAGCTGGGACTACAGGCATTCGCCACCATGCCCGGCTAATTTTTTCTATATATATTAGTTGGCCAATTAATTTCCTTCTATTTTATAGTAGAGACGGGGTCTCGCTCTTGCTCAGGCTGGTGTCGAACTCCTGACCTCGAGCAATCCGCCCGCCTCGGCCTCCCAGAGAGCTAGGATTACAGGCGTGAGCCACCGCGCCCGGCCCAGAGTCTGTATTTTGAAACACAGTATTATGTGTACTCTAAAGAAAAAAAGGATAGAGGCCAGGTGCAGTGGCTCACACCTGTAATCCTAGCACTCTGGGAGACCGAGGTGGGTAGATCGTTTGAGCTTAGAAGTTTGAGACCAGCCTGAGCAAGAGCAAGACTCCCATCTCTAGTAAAAAAAAAAAAAAAAAAAATAGAAAGAAATTAGCTGGACAACTAAAAATATATAGAAAAAATTAGCCAGGCATGGTGGCGCATGTCTATAGTCCCAGCTACTCGGAAGGGTGAGGCAGAAGGATTGCTTGAGTCCAGGAGTCTGAGGTTGCTGTGAGCTGGGCTGATGCCACTACACTCTAGCCCAGGCAACGGAGTGAGAGTCTATCTCAAAAAAAAAAAAAAAAAATGAAAAAAAGATATAGGTGTGTAATTGTGGGGGGGAAAATGCCTTATGTGACCTGATTTCTTGTTCTCTATTTTCCTCACCCTCTTCTCAAAAGCCTTATTCAATATAATTTTGACCTTTAATTTATTACAATTATAATTTTGGCAGCAAAGTATTTTTCTGTGTCATGTGGTATTTTTCTTTCTTTGTAAGCAGGACATGCCATTTGTAAGCCAGATGTAATTATATTATTGGAGCAGGGAAAAGAGCCCTGGAAGATTTTGAAGGAAGAAACAACATGGTATACAGGTAAGTAAGAGTAAGTCAGACTCTAGGAAGTCAGCTATGTAGGTAACAGCTGACGTAGACAAGGAAGAGACATACACTTGGAATGTTGGTTGGAAATCTCTATTCATGGCAGAGAAAAGGCTTGTGATCTTCCTTCCAGAAGATAAATACTCTGCATGAGCTACTCAGTGAACTTCATATTCACCTTAATTAACTGCTCACTATTTTTCTTCTCATATTTCTTCCCATGTCAATGATGGGCATTATCCTTCCTGGTGCACCTCTATTTTGGATCCAACTGATTTCCAGATCTTCTTATTCACTTATATTTATGTATGTGGCTCCAATGCCCAAAAATATATTCATTCTTGTATATGGCACATAAAATAGGAGTTAATAGTTTATTAACTATAGTTTATTAACTATAAACACATAAATAAGTAGATAAATATCAGGTAGTAAAATATACTGTGAAGAAAACTGACCACTAACAGGGCAAATTTAAATTTAAGGTCAAGAACTATTTTCTGAGGAGATACTTGAACAGAGGTGTGAAGTGTAAGGACTTATGGCTTAGCCAGGGGTCCTCAAACTTTTTAAACGGGGCCAGTTCACTGTCCCTCAGACCTTTGGAGGGCCATTGGAGAGTGCGGCGCACATTCCACACACGTGCACTGTGGGCCTGGGACAAGTCGGCTGCTAAGCAGGACAGGCAACGGTGGTGAAAACACCTGGTTGGCCAAATAAATGTCCTCGGCGGGCCACATGTGTTTGAGCACCCCTGGCTTAGGCCATTTGTGTATGCAGTTGATCTTTGAACAACATATGTTTGATCTGTGAAGGTCCACTTATATGAAAATTTTCTTCTGCCCTGCCACCCTTGAGACAGCAAGACCAATCCCTCCTCCTCCTCAGCCTTCTCAATATGAAGACAACAAGGATGAAAACCTCTATGATGACCCAAATCCTTATGATTTTCTTAATATTTTCTTTTCTCTAGCTTACTTTATTATAAGAATACAGTATATAATACATATACAGAGAATATGTGTAAATTGACTGCTTATGTTATCAATAAAGCTTCTGGGCAACAGTAGGCTGTAAATATTTAAGTTTGGGGCAGTCAAAAACTATACATGGGTTTTCAGCTGCATGGGATGTTGGGACCCCTAACCCTTGCATTGTTCAAAGGTCAACTGTATTAGGAAGAGCATACCAAGAAGAGTAAACAACACATGCAAAGCCCCCAAAGGAGGTGTGACTGTTGTGTGTTTCAAAAGCAGCAAGTAGATCAGAGCAATTGAAGGATGAGTAAGATATGAAATCAGTATGTTGTTGGGAGCTGTCCCGAACACGGGAGAGTTAAAGTATGGTTGCTGCCCGGAACACTGGGGTCCTTGAGACATAGCACCTGGCGCCTTAACTCATAGCTCTGACATTCTTGGCCTTTCTTCTAGCTCATGGAGGGTGCTGGAGATAACAGTAGCAGTTATAGAAGGTTACTGAAGTAATCCTGTGCACACAGCCCTCGTAGCTTATAGCCCCCCGAGGCCCTGCACACTCCTTTCTCAGAATTGTTAATTACGCTTGGGTGCTCTTTCCTTGAACTGTCCGAGTGATCATAGTTGAGTATTTGTAGCTTTTTTGATATCAGAAAAAAGTTAAGTTGTAGGCCGGGCGCTGTGGCTCACGCCTGTAATCCTAGCTCTTGGGAGGCCGAGGCGGGCGGATTGCTCAAGGTCAGGAGTTCAAAACCAGCCTGAGCAAGAGCGAGACCCCGTCTCTACTATAAATAGAAAGAAATCAATTGGCCAACTGATATATATATATAAAAAATTAGCCGGGCATGGTGGCGCATGCCTGTAGTCCCAGCTACTCGGGAGGCTGAGGCAGAAGGATCACTCGAGCCCAGGAGTTTGAGGTTGCTGTGAGCTAGGCTGACGCCACGGCACTCACTCTAGCCTGGACAACAAAGCGAGACTCTGTCTCAAAAAAAAAAAAAAAAAAAAAAAAAAAAAAGTTAAGTTGTAGATTAGAAAACTGCTTAAGCGAGGGAAAGGGCTATCAAAGTGACATAAGGTTGAAAGAAACAAGAACTGTTTTGTTTTCTGGTTTAATGAAGACATGTACCACCTGTTCCTTTGCATTTTGCTTCTCCTTTGTTCTTATCTGTATAAATATAGCAATTGAAATAAACGAGGCGCGGCAGTCACCAAGGACTCCGTCCTCCCGTCCCCATCTTTTTGTTGTCTCTTCATTTCTCAGCCTCGCCCCCTAACTCCAGGTGCCACACGTCGCCGGCTGGCACCGGCAGTATGTTATAAGGAATCAGATCATATTAGATGCCATTCATTAAGAAGAGCTATATTTGTTTGCTAAGGTTAATTAGGATCCATGATCTGATTAAACCTTTTTTTAGAGAAAGTATCTTGCTCTGTTGTCCAGGTTGGAGTGCAGTGGCACAATTATATAGCTCACTGCAGCCTTGAGCTCCTGCAGGCAAATGATCCTCCTGCCTCCGCCTCCTGAGTACCTAGGACTACAGGTGTGTGCCACCATGCACGGCTAATTTTTAAGTTTTTTATAATTTTTACTAAGTTGCCCAGACTGCTCTTGAACTCCTTGGCTCAAGTGATCCTCCTGCCCTGGCCTCCGAAAATACTGAGATTACAAGCTTGAGCCACCATGCCCAGCCTAAGCTTTTTAAAAACTCTTAGCATTTTATTTGATATAAGGAGCAACAAAAAGTACAAACAACTGTATAGGCAGGAATGAACCACAGTATCTGTACTTTTTTTTTTTTTTGAGACAGAGTCTCTCTCTGTTGCCAAGGCTATGGCACAGTGGCGTCATCATAGCTCACTGCAACCTCAAACCCCTGGCTCAAGCAATTCTCCTGCCTCATCTTCCTGAGTAGCAGGGACTACAGGTGCTTGCCACCACACCTGGCTAATTTTTGCTATTTTTTGTAAAGATGGGATCTCACTCTTGCTCAGGCTGGTCTCAAATGCCCAGCCAAGTATCTATATTTTTAAGGAGAAATATAATTGGAGGGAGATAAAGTATAAATAGTTGCTTTTAATATATTTGCTTATATTTTATAGGGAAACTGATACAGGAAAGAGTACATTTAATCAATATAATAAAATATGATAAATGAGTTATGGAGACATTTTCAGTAACTTTTGTAAATTGTATAGCTGACTTTAAAGTTCTTTAAAATATTCATCTCTGATGATATTTTTAATTTTAAGAAACATCAATAGAACATTTACCTTTTTTGGTTCAGGAAAATAAAATGTTTTTCTTGTTTCTTTTAGATTTGGAGACAAGGTATGAAATAATCAGCAATGGAAAAGACCGAATTTATACAAAAACGTTCATCTCTTACTCTACATCAGAGAATTCATAATAGAGAGAAACCCTATGAATGTGACAAATGTGGGAATACCTTTAGTCGTCATACAGACCTTACAGTACATCAGAGAATTCATACTGGTGAGAAACCCTATGAATGTAAGCAATGTAGAAAGGCCTTTAATCGTGTATCTAACCTTCTGCAACATCAGAGAATTCATACCGGTGAAAAACTCTATAAATGTGAGGAACGTGGAATGACCTTTAGTCGTAGTGTAGACCTTAAAGTTCATCAGAGAATTCATACTGGTGAGAAGCCCTATGAATGTGAAGAATGTGGGAAGGCCTTTAATCGTACCTCACACCTTACTCAACATGGAAAGGTTCATACTGGTGAGAGATCTTATGTATGTTGTGAATGTGGGAAGGCTTTTAGTCAAGGTGGAAGACTTAGAATACATCAGAGAATTCATACCGGTGAAAAACCCTATGAATGTAAGGAATGTGGAAAAGCATTTAGTCAAGCTTCTCACCTCGTGCAACATGACAGAATTCATACTGGTGAAAAACCCTATGAGTGTGGTGAATGTGGGATGACCTTTAGTCGTGGCATAGATCTTAGGGTGCATCATAGAATTCATACTGGTGAGAAACCCTATAAATGTAAAGAATGTGAGAAGGCCTTTTGTCGAGCCTCAAATCTTGTGCAACATGAGAGGATTCATACCAGAGAGAAGCCCTATGAATGTAAAGAGTGTGGGATGACCTTTAGTCATGTCTGTCAACTCATTGCACACGAGAGAGTGCATATTCGTGTGAAACCCTATGAATGTAACAAATGTGAGAAGGCCTTTAGTCATGCCTCAGCACTTATTCAACATGAGAGAATTCATACTGGTGAAAAACCATATAAATGTAAAGAATGTGGGAAGGCCTTTATTTATGGTGGAAGCCTTAAGATGCATCAGAGATTATATACTGGTGAGAAACCCTATGAATGTAAGGAATGTGGGAAGGCCTTTAGTCGTGCCTCAAACCTTGTTAGCATGAGAGAATTCATACTGGTGAGAAACCCTATGAATGTAAGGAATGATGGAAATCCTTTAGTCATGTTGAAAGTCTTAGAATGCATCACAGAATTCATACTGGTGAGAAACCTTATAAATGTAAAGATTGTGGGAAGGCTTTTAGAAGTGGCCATCAACTTATTGTACATCATAGATTTCATACTGGTGAGAAACCTTATGAATGTAAGGAATGTGGGAAGGCCTTTAGTGTGTATGGACAACTTACTCAACATCGGAGTATTCACAATGGTGAGAGACCTTTTAAATGTAAGAATTGTGAGAAGTCCTTTAGGCTTAGCTCAAGTCTTAAAGTACATCAGAGAATTCATAATGGAGAGAAATCTTATGAATATGAGGGCTATGGAAAGGCATATGTATGTAGACAATGTACAGTATATCAGACTATTTATAACAATGAGAAAGAATTTGAATGAAAAGAATATGGGAATGCTTTTAGATATGGTTCAGCTCTTACAAAGCGTTAAATAATGTTTATTGGTGAGAACTTCTCAGAATACAAATAATATTTCAAGATTTTTAGTTATGATCAAAATGTTTTTAATATCCAGAGAATTTATATTTTTATATAACATAAGAAAGCCCTTATTGTTATTTTTCTATTTATTGATTGTTTGAATATTTACATTAGAGGAAAATTCAGAGAATGTAGGCATGTCCTTGTTTTATGTACTTTATTTATAAAATTCCTTTCAGCCCTAATCAGTAATTTTTAGACTTGGGAAAACATACCACAGAAAACCCCTATTGATCTAATAAATGTAGGAGAACCATTATGATTGCCATTCCATTCCTTACATCATGGATGACATTGAGTAAGATATTTATCTTTCTAGGAATCCTCTTCCAATGATGATAATAATACCTACATTATAGTGCTGTTAATTGAAATGTAGAAAATTTGGAAAACTATTTTGCACATAGTCTCTGTTTGATAAGTACTAGAGACTATTTTTAATATTATCCTGTTTATCTTAATATTAGTGAATTACTGTGAGATAATGTCCATATAGGTTTAATGAACTTAGAAAGGCTTCATGTAATTACTTATGCCTTTTTGAGTTTTAAGTAATTCTTTCTGATTAAAATCTAGTAGAATATAAAAAAAAACAAACAAGAGGATTTAAAACATGCATTTTATTGGAGCACTGCCCATGTTCATTTATTTATATATTATATGGCTGATTTCACACTACTATAGAATAGTTGAGTAGTTATACCAGAGACCTTATGGCCCACAAAGCCTAAACTATTTACCGTCTTGTTTTTCACCACCACCACCAACAAAAAGACTGCCAATTCCTGGTGTAGAATTGTATCCCACAATTTTTTCATAACTTTGGATTTTTGAAGAGTATACGATTGTTGTCTTATTGAATATTTCACATTCTGGATTTTTAAAATTACTTACATGTGGATCATTTATCTTGTTCTTCTATGACTAATAGTTCCAGTAAATCTGAAGCTAAAGCAAGAAGTTCAACTCAGTAGATGTTGTATACATTAAAAAACCTAATGCTTTCCCAGTATTAATGATGCTAGATGTCATCAATTGATTAGACAGGTTACTGCCAGATTTCTCCATTATATAACAGAAATCCACTTTACAGTTATTAATCTGCATGGTAACATTTTGTCACCTGCTTTTTGAAATTTATAATCTGATGTAAAAGTCATAAATTAAATAGAAAATTAACATTGAAATTAGGGCCTTTCAGAAAGGAATGATAATGAATTGCCTATATAGCAATTCATATTTTTTTCAAATGCCATTTCATTATCTGTTGCTATAGTCATATATTATGTACTTATTCTCCTTTAGTTTATTGATACTGGTAGATTTCTTGATTTTTAAACATCCCTGGAATAAACCCTGGTTACCCATGGTTTATTACTCTTTAGTTACCTATTCAATTAGTTAATATTTACTTAGAATACTTGCATCTATGTTTATATGTGAGATTGTATTCTAATTTCCTTTTGTATTATAGTTTTTTACATTTGATATTTCAATTATCAATTCTTTTTTTTTTTTTTTTTTTTTGAGACAGAGTCTCGCTTTGTTGTCCAGGGTAGAGTGAGTGCCGTGGCGTCAGCCTAGCTCACAGCAACCTCAAACTCCTGGGCTCGAGAGATCCTTCTGCCTCAGCCTCCCGAGTAGCTGGGACTACAGGCATGCGCCACCATGCCCGGCTAATTTTTTTATATACATATCAGTTGGCCAATTAATTTCTTTCTATTTATAGTAGAGATGGGGTCTCGCTCTTGCTCAGGCTGGTTTTGAACTCCTGACCTTGAGCAATCCGCCCGCCTCGGCCTCCCAGAGAGCTAGGATTACAGGCGTGAGCCACCGCGCCCGGCCAATTATCAATTCTTTAAAAATGAGATAGAACTTGTCTTTGAAAACATGGAGTTTTGTATATCTGTTGATCTATTTTGTTTTCAGTGTTAGATTTTTTTTTTTGAGGCAGAGTCTCACTCTGTTGTCTGGGCTAGAGTTCCATGTCATCAGCCTAACTCACATCAACCTCAAACTCCTGTCTCAAGCAATCCTTCAGCTTCAGCCTCCTGAGTAACTGGGATTACAGGCATGTGCCACCATACCCAGCTAATTTTTTCTATATATTTTTAGTTAGATGATTAATTTCTTTCTATTTTTAGTAGAGACAGGGTCTCGCTCTTGCTCAGGCTGGTTTCGAACTCCTGACCTTGAGTGATCCATCTGCCTCAGCCTCCCAGAGTGCTAGGATTACAGGCCTGAGCCACTGCGCCTGGCCAGTGTTAGATTTTTAATCACCTTAAAGGAAATATCTTTTTATATGAGCCCTTAAGAGAAAGTCAAGTATCCTTTGTTTTTTTTTTTTTTTTGTGGCAATCAATTCTTTTATTTATTTCAGCATATTATGGGGGTACAAATGTTAAGGTTACGTATATTGCCCATGTCCCCCTTCCCACCTGCTCGACACCCAATAAATGTTATTCCTATATGTCCACTTAAGTGTTGATCCATTAATACCAATTTGCTGGTGAGTACATGTGATGCGTGTTTGTCCAATTCTTTGTACCAATGTGGTAGCTTTTCCATCCCTGCCATCTTAATCTTCCCCGGATGCATGACTTCATGTTCCTTCCTCCACGTTAGGTGTTTAGTGAAAAAACCATTTCGGCTCAATGAAAATGCCTTAATATTGGTCTATCTCTATGTTGAGTTATCTTGATACACTGGCTTGTTTACAAAGTCTATAAATGTACTTTCTTCTGAGCTTAACGGCAAGTGATTTAGATGAGAATCCAAAACTTTGGTGAACTCAGTGCTTCGGTGTTTGTCTAAATGCTGTGCTAAATATGGGAATTGTTGGATCTAGATCCCTGGCAACAGTTCCGGCCCTGGTGGAGAAGGCCGCACTGTATTTGTCTTCAGGGCCTTCAGTTTGTACTTTCCAAATCCTTTCCTCACACCTGACCACCATCTGCCACCATGATGTCTGTGTCTCGCTCTCCTCTGGGACCTGGGACCTGGGACCTGGAGGGAGTTCTCTCAGGTCCTCTAACCAAAAGATCAGCTGTCAGTCATTTACACTTCAGTGCAAACTTACGGGCTATTTGCCTTTTAAGTAGATTTCTTCTTTCTTTCTGATGAGGATACAACAAAAAGTTGGCAGTCTGCAACCTGGAAGAAGATCTTCACTAGAACACAAACATGCTGGCATACTGGTCTCAGACTTTCAGCTTCTAGAACCTTCCCGCTGGTCTCTGGGCTGCTCCGTTGGTCTCAGCTTCCAGTTCTCCTCCGCAGCCTCATCCTGTGGAGTCTCCCGTGGTCTCAGGTACCCCTTTTCTGGCCCTCGTCTGCTGTATGCTCGTCTTCTTGCTTCTTTTTTCTAATTTCTGCTAGAATCTGTCTTTTCTGCAGAGACACTCTGTCTGGCAGTGTTTCTCATCTGCCATCTTGCTGTATAGCCATCCTTTGTTTTTGATAATATTTCTTGGGATACTTGAGCTCTTCTGGAAGGGCATAAAATGCAGTTTGGCTACTTAAAAAGTTTTGATACTTCTGAGCAACCACATTAGCATTGATACATTCTTTCATATCTGAGTTTTTAATATTAATAGTAAATATTTAGCGATATTCACTAATTAGACGTTCTCACTAATTTAGGAATATTTATTTGTTTACTTATTTATTTTTTTGAGACAGAGTCTCATTCTGTTGTCCCAGGTAAAGTGCCATGGCATCAGCCTAGCTCACAGCAACCTCAAACTCCTGGGCTCAAGCTATCCTCCTGCCTCAGCCTCCCTGGTAGCTGGGCCTAAAGGCATGCGCCACCACGCCTGGCTAATTTTTTCTATATTTAGTTGTTTGGTTAATTTCTTTCTATTTTTAGTAGAGCTGGGGTCTCGCTCTTGCTCAGGCTGGTCTCGAACTCCTGAGCTCAAGCAATCCTCCCGCCTTGGCCTCCCAGAGTGCTAGGATTACAGGTATAAGCCACTGTGCCCGGCCTAATTTAGGAATATTTAATATGTATAAATACTAATACTTATCTGTTTAAATCCAATTTTAATCTGTCAATTAGCATTTCATTACACATTCAACAATCAGTATTCCCTATTTTATTTAGACAACTAATACACCAAATCTTAAAGATTTATCAAACTAAATGTCTCTATTGATCTGTTGCAAACCTAAGTTCTTTGAACATCTGTTGACGATCAGAAATATAGTATATTATTCTTAAAAATCAACTAAAATCTATTATATTAGAGACAACATTGACAAGTTTGAGGTGTTTACAAAACTGATCAGTAAATTTA